AGAAGCGCAGTGTCATATATGCGGGACCGCTCCCATCCTAGTGTGATCAATACAAATGATCATTTCTTTGGCTACTTTTGGGGCACATATCTAACAAAATATGCGTTAGATATGATGGGTTGTGACAATTTCACACTATCCTGAATAACAATGTTTACTATATCAACAAAAATTTCAGAATTGCATTGTAGCAAAACCATTATGTGTTTCAATTTCCCTAGCACGTACGGACCATATAATACTTCAAAATATTTCTCTAGCCCGTCTGAATTCCATAACAGCAAGGCATGCGACACAAATATCATAATGGTCACATGCTCACATGTCAACGAGATCATCTTCATCCTCACTCTCATCATGGTCCTGGTCATCACAAGAACACCCAGCAGAGCCCCACTTAGCGCCACATCCATAGCAGAACTCAAAGTCACACCTGTACAATTTTGCAACCATCAATTTTTTAGCCATCAAAGACTTTCATGCAATAACGCCAACAACCTGTACCACTAAACAATTACTCCACAAAGAAAGCTTCTCTGGTTTGAGGTTAATAAAAAATATCTACACAAAATAACTCAAAATAACTCAAAAAAGCCATCCCAACAGGGCCTGTCATCCCTATCCCCTGCAATGCTCTGTTAACGAGCTCTTGCTTTTACGGTACCCAGTGATTTTTTAGCTGTTCCGAGTAAACTTCAATGAACGTGGACAAATTTTGGTTGCAATTCTGAACCCCGCATGCAGTCACCCGGAGAGGAGGAAGCGCAGCGCAATATTTACCTACAGATAATGTGAAGGCAGCCATCTCGTTTGGCCACGAAGAAGTCGCACTTGGGGCACCGCCTCCACTTCTTCTCTCTGGCCATCTCCATCAGCATCAGGTCCTCCCTGCTCCTGTCCCCTCTCTTGTACGCGGCGCAGTCGACGTCCGCGTGCCACGGCACGGCGCACTGGGCGCAGAACAGCCGCCTGCACACCTGGCACTCCGACTGCGTCACGGGCTTCCCACCATCACCCTCCTCGTCATCGTCCTCCTCCTCGTCGTCGTCGGCCACCATCATTTCCGAGCAGTCGGGGAAGGGGCAGTAGGTCCTGCGCGCCCCGACGAACATGGACTCGCACAGCGCGGCGCACCACCGCTCGAACACGTCGGCCGGGAGCGCGGCGCGGCACAGCTCCGGGTCGAGATTGCCGCCGCAGGACGCGTCCAGGCACCGCACGGCGGCGGCGGCGCCGGGACCGGACTCGAGCCTGGCGCGGACGTGGCCCGTGATGCACGCCCCGCAGAAGGCGTGCGCGCAGGCGCTGCCGCCGCGGTGGAACTCCGACGGCGCCGTCGGCTCCGCGCAGATGCTGCAGCAGAGGTGCTGCTGCTGCGCCGCCTTGCTGCCCGCGGCCTCCGCCATTGGATAGAGGTGCGGAGATTTTGATGCGTCGGCGTTGCTGACGGCTAATGCAGGCAGCCTCGACCGCTCCGATACTTCTTAGGTTTTGTTGGGATTTGAACGTTTTGAAGCGCTTCCTTCCGGAAATTCAGGAGCTTACCAGTTACCTTTTTTTTTTTGAGAATCGCTTACCAGTACACCTGCTCCTCTAATCTGGAACGACTTTTTTTTTTGAGAAAAATCTGGACCGACTGGTGCAAATGCGATTCGTAACTCGGCCCCTTGGGATGTTTTGTTTCTCATGTGGCCCATCACTCGGCTCGTTGGTCACGCTCATTTAGAGTCATGGGCCATGTCTCGGGTGGACATTAAAATGCCCAAATGCGTCGCTTCAGTCACCTTCCAAATACCCCTAAAAAAAAGTCACCTTCCAAACTACTCCATCAGCGCATAAAAGAAAAAAAAAACTCCATCAGCGTCCCTCCTATCCCTGTCCTACCGCTCTCAGACACTTTCTTACTTTGTTGCTACTACTAATGGTCTACATGTTTCCCTTCCTCTACATTCATGTGCCACACAAGCACTTGATCGTCTTAGCCAGAGCACACTATAGGTACGGCAAAATTTGTGTTTCATCACTTCCTTGCAATGAGCGGCATCAAGAAGCATGTTAAGCGTCGGAGGATCTTAATTATGTACTGGCCTTAGGTACCACCTTTTCTCAAGACGTTTTGGCCAAAAATAAACGCTATAGATCACATGCATCACAATAACTGCATCTCATGGGTACCAAAAGATAGGCATTCCATATATCTAACGAGATGATACCCCGCACGTTGCTGCGGGAATTGCTTGTAACATACCTGAAGAAACAATCAACAACCCCCCATATTTGCAAAAAATGTGAAAGCAGAAGCGCTAAAATATAACGGAGTTGCAACAATCAAGAAAGGTCCAACCTGAAAAATTAATGTCTATTAGAACGGCCATGTGTGTAAACAAAACAAAACTAAAACAATGTTAATGTCTAATAGGAATATTAGTGCAGAAGAATTATCAAACGACAATCATAGCCGAACCACATAGAACTGGACAATTGTCCAATCTCAAAACAGAATTGGTAATTCTACAAGCAAACATATACCAATCAAAATAATGAAATCCATTTTAGTTAATCTAATCCATGAAAAATGATTAGATATGAAGAATTACCATCCAACTGTCAACTGGGCGAGGGCTTGAGACGAGGATATGTAGCTCAAAGAACCCATTCTCTGTTTGATTTGATAGTGAGAAAAGTATGTGTACATGACATACCCAGTGTTACTGAAAATAAAATGGCATGACAGTTCAATGGGCATGCCTTCAGCATACCTAAAGCTCGTATGTAGTACAACAACAGTGGCCAATGATCCAGTAATAATATACTCAAGAGATATGTAAGGTCAAGAAGGGAATTTACCTAAACAAAGTTGTTCCGGTGAGACACTGAGGCAAAACACAATGAGATAAAATAGCAGCTCATATAAAAAAATGACACGCTTAGTATGCTAGCTTTTTTATTATACCATGGAACTTAATCCATTAAACAACAAAGAAAAACTGAAGATGATGCTAGCGGACATGCATCTACCACATGGCGCACGCAGAATATACATGCGACTTGACTTCAATCTGTTAATGCAATATAAGGAAGGAGAAGGAACAAACACTGAAGAGGAACACATTAACGGAAGCACACAAGGACTCGCCAGGCCACTGATGTCACATCTACCACTGAAGAGAAAATCTATGATGTATTGATGCTAGATGTACTGCTCCACCAACTGAGACAGTAGTGGTAGATAGAAATGTCAACCCCTAGCAGCGACTGGCAGGCTGAGCTTCGCCGCTCCTGCAGAGAGGATAGGAAGGGAAGGGGATACAGATGTCACATCACAACATCAAATCAAGCCACTCATAAAGTAAATCGAGAAAGAGGGAGAAGGAGAAGAGAGGCTCATGCTCTTGATCGGGTTAGGCTTATGCACTTGATGGCAGCAGCGAGGAGGCGGGGGAGGCGGCGGGCCTCGACGTGGGATAACCACTCCTCGGGGCCCTTGTAGCAGAGGAAAAGGCGGCGCTCGTGGATGCCTTTCGTCCCGCGAGCTTCTCCTTCCCGAGCTCCTCCCACAGGAACGCGAACTCTTTTCCAGATCGGGAGCCACGGCGGGGATGACTGCTTCCGGCGCGAGGAGGGCCCAGAGCAGAGTCGTGCGCAACTCAATGTTCTCGGTGGGCGGCGATGGATCCGCAGCTCCAACGGCGTCACATCTCGCAGGGAGGCGTCCAAGGGGAGTAACACCGGCGGACTTGACACAAGCGGACCAGTGGTCAGAGCCGGAGGAACACCCTCTTGTGTCAAGATTGTCGCCCAGCCGCCACAGCGTGAGGATTGAGGAAAGATTTATGGTGGGAAGAAACTGAAGTGCAGAGGAAGCGGTTCGGGCACATTCATTTGATGGGTAATCAATCGGGCAAATGAAGTGGAACTTGGTCTTTTTCCACCGCCGTGATGGAACCAGATCGATGGGTAATGAAACTGAAGGATGACGTGGCAGAAAGCTGACATGGACAGTCTGCATGTTCAGAGAATTGAAAATAGTGGGGATCAACTTCTTAAGAATGTAAGATTAAGGACAGTATAACCGCACCTAAACCAAGCTCCCACAGCGATTTGCGTTTTCGGCCATTCGTTTTCCCGATCTGGGACTTCCTGGCCGTCCAATTTCGTGCGTGTGGCGATCTGTTCCATGATCTGTGTTAACTGGTCCGGCTGTCCTGTGGGCAGCTGTTCCACGGGCCGAAACGGCCGTCTCTGGTGCATTGGGCCTCGGCGAGCCGGTAGCCCATTCGAAGGAGGGAGGCCTACGAGCGACCGCGCGAGGGTCCATCCACACACTCGCGAACCCTAATCCAATCCCGATCGAAACCGCGTCGACTCCACTCCGGTCCCCAATCCCAGTCGAGCAGCCGGTGCCGCCAAGATGGGATCGAGTCCATCCGGTCTTTCCCAACGACCAGAGGAAAGGAGCAGCCGGTGCGGCCGATTCCAACCATTGAAGACGAAGTGAGGGATGGGATCGAGTCCCCAGCGACCGGAGGAGCAGGATTCGGGTCGAGGCAACCAATCCAGTGCGTGACAGAATCATGATGCGTGTGAAGAAAGGTGGCGGCGAGGCAGATAATGAGACTGGCGAACATGGTACACAATGACATTGAACGAGTTTTACCATAGTTGCTATTGCAGGTTAATACTTATTTTTTCGTATTCTTTTGGTATCATGAGTTAAGAATTATTTTTTTCGACCATGATGATGGTTTACGAATGATGTGTTGGAAATATGCCCTAGAGGCAATAATAAAAGCATTATTATTATATTTCCTTGTTCATGATAATTGTCTTTATTCATGCTATAATTGTGTTATCCGGAAATCGTAATACATGTGTGAATAACAGACACCAACATGTCCCTAGTAAGCCTCTAGTTGACTAGCCCGTTGATCAACAGATAGTCATGGTTTCCTGACTATGGACATTGGATGTCATTGATAACGAGATCACATCATTATCATGATATGATGGGCAAGACCCAATCCTAAACATAGCACAAGATCATATAGTTCGTTTGCTAGAGTTTTTCCAATGTCAAGTATCCTTTCCTTAGACCATGAGATCGTGTAACTCCCGGATACCGTAGGAGTGCTTTGGGTGTACCAAACGTCACAACGTAACTGGGTGACTATAAAGGTATACTACGGGTATCTCCAAAAGTGTCTGTTGGGTTGACACGGATCAAGACTGGGATTTGTCACTCCGTATGACGGAGAGGTATCATTGGGCCCACTCGGTAATGCATCATCATTATGAGATCATAGTGACCAAGTGTCTGGTCACGGGATCATGCATTACGGTACGAGTAAAGTGACTTGACGGTAACGAGATTGAACAAGGTATTGGGATACCGACGATCGAATCTCGGGCAAGTAACATGCCGATTGACAAAGAGAATTGAATACGGGGTTGCTTGAATCCTCGACATCGTGGTTCATCCGATGAGATCATCGAGGAGCATGTGGGAGCCAACATGGGTATCCAGATCCCGCTGTTGGTTATTGACCGGAGAGTCGTCTCGGTCATGTCTGCATGTCTCCCGAACCCGTAGGGTCTACACACTTAAGGTTCGGTGACGCTAGGGTTGTGAAGATATGTATATGCAGTAACCCGAATGTTGTTAGGAGTCCCGGATGAGATCCCGGACGTCATGAGGAGTTTCGGAATAGTCCGGAGGTAAAGAATTATATATAGGAAGTGTTGTTTCGGCCATCGAGACAAGTTTCGGGGTCACCGGTATTATACTGGGACCACCGGAAGGGTCCCGGGGGTCCACCGGGTGGGGCCACCCATCCCGGAGGGCCCCATGGGCCAAAGTGGGAAGGGGAACCAGCCCATAGTGGGCTGGTGTGCCCCCCTAGGCCCACCCCATGCGCCTAGGGTTGAAACCCTAGGGGTGGGGGGGGGGCGCCCCACCTTGCCTTGGGGGCCACTCCAGCCCTGGCCGCCGCCCCCCCTAGGAGATCTCATCTCCTAGGGCCGGCGCCCTCCCTAGGGGAGCCTATATATATGAGGGGGAGGGAGGGGGCAGCCGCACCTTGAGCCCTGGCGCCTCCCTCTCCCCTTGCTACAC